AACAGCCCGTTTCAGTTTCAGCACAGCCTGATTAGCACAAGGGGAAAAAAATCTGCCTCTGCTTCCCAGCAATTTGCCTCCTTGCAGCAAACAGCAAACAGCCTGTTTCAGTTTCAGCACAGCCTGATTAGCACAAGGGGAAAAAAATCTGCCTCTGCTTCCCAGCAATTTGCCTCCTTGCAGCAAACAGCCTGTTTCAGTTTCAGCACAGCCTGATTAGCACAAGGGAAAAAAAACTGCCTCTGCTTCCCAGCAATTTGCCTCCTTGCAGCAAACAGCCTGTTTCAGTTTCAGCACAGCCTGATTAGCACAAGCAGCTGATTGTCAGTTGGATCGGCCGCCCAACCATCAGCTGTTTCAGGCTGCAGGAATCGCCATTACCTATTGCATCCTCCTGTTTGCCCCATTTTTGGGTTCTGCGCGCCCCATTTTTCACCGGTTCCGATTCCTGCTGCCAAAACAGGAGGAAAATGGGGCGCGCGGAGGCGGCAATAGGTTATGGCAATCCCTGCAGCCTGAAACAACTGATGGTTGAGAGGCCCGACCATCAGCTGCTTGTGCTAATCAGGCTGTGCTGAAACTGAAACAGGCTGTTTGCTGCAAGGAGGCAAATTGCTGGGAAGCAGAGGCATATTTTTTTTTCCCTTGTGGTAATCAGACTAAACTGAAACTGAAACTGAAACAAGTTGTTTGCTGCAAGGAGGCAAATTGCTGGGAAGCAGAGGCAGATTTTTTTCCCTTGTGCTAATCAGGCTAAACTGAAACTGAAACTGAAACAGGTTGTTTGCTGCAAGGAGGCAAATTGCTGAGAAGCAGAGGCAGATTTTTTTCCCTTGTGCTAATCAAGCGAAACTGAAACAGGCTGATTGCTGTTTGTTGCAAGGAGGCAAATTGCTGGGAGGCAGAAGCAGAATTTTTTTCTTCTTCTTTTCCTTCTCAAAAGCTAGGTGGGTCTTATACTTCGGAGTGTCTTATACTCCGAAAAATATGGTACATATAATTGTTTTAAACTCAGTCGTCTCTCTTAACAAATGTTTTTACACCTGCACATATTACCTGTTCCTGTTGAATGGTGGAAAACATTGATGTGGAAATGAAATGTTTGAACAACAGGCGAGTCCTAAACAATTCACCCAGAACCTTTCTCTCTTTTCCTCCCCAAATGCAAGCACCATAAACCAAGAAGTTCTTACTTCAACTTGGCAGCCGCTTCCTCCTGCTGCAGCTTCATCTCTTCCTCTTGCTTCTTCTTCTCCTCCTCTTCAAGCTTTTGTTTCTCCTCCTCCTCCTTCCTCTTTTGCTCCTCCTCCGATTTTATCTTCTCGTCCTCTTTCTTCTTCCACTCCTTCTCGTCCTTTTTCCTCTTCTCCTCCTCCATTTTCTTCTTCTTATCTTCGGATGGCTTGAGCATCTCCCTCTTCATGCCCAGCCTGACATCCTCTTTGGGCCTGTCCCGGCTGCTCACTGACCGCCTCTCCCCAAACTCCTTCTCTTTGTTACTTAAGGGTGTCTCTTTTTCTTCCATGCTCGCCGACTTCTTCCGCTCAGCTGGCATTGTGTTATCCAGGAAGATCTGAAAGGGGATGAGTATCAGAGTGTCATTACGTCCAGCAGGGATTACTCAAAAGTCTTTGTTTTTCAAAACTGCATCTACCAGTACATTCCCACCTGACAGGATGTCAGATAATCCATGGAGATTCTCCATCATCCAGTGTCCTGGTTTGTCCCCCAGATGTGCTTTTCCCCCCCCCCCCAAGAGGCAACTGGACTTTCTGGTTTTTCCTTGAAGACATTTCACTTCTCATCCACAGAGCTTCTTCAGCTCTGACTGGATGGTCCATCTGCAAGGAGTGTAAATCCTTCCGTTTCCCCACCATCCAGTAAGAGCTGAAGAAGCTTCTCAGAGGAGAAGTGGAACGCCTTCAAAGACGGATGGACGGATGGACAGACAGTGATAGATAGATAGATAGATAGATAGATAGATAGATAGATAGATAGATAGATAGATAGATAGATAGATAGATAGATAGATAGATAGATAG